GCTGCACTCTTTAATAATTAACTTTCTAGTGGGGACATATTGAAGCCAATGTAAAATCAAACATTAGTCTTGGTTTTTAGTCATATTAGATTTGTGTGGAGGGTGTGTTCTGGATTAAATGAGACAAATAGATAAGTGATTGCTTTTTATTACAGTAGAAGTCAATACTGTATCAAAGCAAATGACTAATTATGAAAACTATTGCCCTAAAAAAAAATCTGTTGTGTATCAGTAACTCACTAGTATTTTTATTAACGAATAGCACTGATAATTATATTTTGAATAAAAGAGCCATGTGACTGTTGGGGAGGGGCAGGGTAGAACTGTTCCAGTTAGTAGTTACTGTTCTGTTTACTGATAACTTTACGCTTAGCAATTTTACAATATTTGTTTTTCATTATTTAAATATATGGAAGGGAGGGGACTCATATGAGTCATCAGTGTACCAAACACACAGCATTTGCACCTACTTCTGTAGGTTCATTTGTAGCACCCTATGAGCAGAAAGCAACTGGTATTATTTATCCAGAGTGGCTTCTTCACAGCTGGAAGTGTACAGTACAACAAAGTGCTGGTCTGAACGGCTCAATGCATTTGCCTTCTATACTATATCAAATAGGAATTAACATCTCTGAGGGATAGGACTAGAAATGCTTTTGCTAGGATGAATGCACAGACTGAAAAAAGATTACGATCAGACTATATTTATGTTCAGACAGATACATGCAATTCTGAATCATTATATAACTATTAACCACACCTGTATAGAGCCTCTGGCAACACTGGCTTATTCAAAATCTTGAGAACTATCTTATACCTTACATCATGCTTTTGCTAAGGAGAAAGAAAAGTCTTGGGAGTTAGCCCAAGACTGAAAGGTGAAACATTACCCATAGATTAAAGTCAGTTTACTATCCTGTGACCTGGCACACCCAATATTACCTTAATATAAATCCACTAGCAGTGCTGCTTTGGTAAAACAAAGGACGTAGCTACATTGTCCTGCAGCTTGGAAATAGCAGTGTGCACCAAAGTGCTACACCGTATGTAGCTGCTGGGGACACAAACAGAAAAGTTTATAGTTCTCACTAGTGAATTTTTTTTCCGAACAGGATTACACGAATGCAAAACAGGAGTCTTTTGGTCAGTACACACAGAATCCATTTGGGGAGCTGCGGCGCAGCACTTTGGGAGCACGAATAGTATTGTAACCAAGGTCTGGCACGCAGACAAGTCCAAGGCCACACACTAGCATCCTATGAAAGTGTTGTTACTGTACCATCTATCTAACTGTAATATCATTTTGGTTTTAATGTTAGCTCCCGTCCCCTCTCCCACAAATGACAGTTTAAATCAAAATAGAGCCATTTTTGTTATGTATTGGCTCAAATCAACATTTCAAACACTTTTTATTTTGTCATCCCATAGGAATACTGACATTTTTGACCAAAAAAACCCTTACATTTTTGGGGGCAGAGGGTGTTCAAAATTTCTCATGGGGAAAAATTTTGGTTTTGCAACCAGTTCTAAATGTAAACTTTATACACTAATCCAGTGTTTCTCACCAATGATATGAGTATATTTAGGGGTACTCAATAGAAGTCTAGGGGATACTGAAATTTGGCGAAAACTGATTTTTTGTTTTAAGTCTTACAGCGTTTTATTATTGTTGTACTTTTTACACCCAAAAATTTCAGTGCCTGCCCGGCTATGATTAAGTTGTTTAAACAAATGTGTTGCAATGGTAGAAAAAAACTTGTGTGTCTGAAAACTGTAGGTACTTATAATTTTTTTTTAAAAAAGGGGTACTTTATAAAAAAAAAGTTGAGAAACAGTACACTAACTAACCTTCCTTTGAGTTGTGAACTTTTCAAAAGGGTGCGAGGAAGGGATTATTGGATGGATAATACCTGTCACAACAAATATGCAATTTTTCATTCAGGTAGCCTGTATGTTTATGCACCAATATCTTAGGGTCCAATCCTGTTCCTGTGGCAGTCCACAGAAAAACTCCCATACCTGTCAGTTGGAGCAGGCTTGGATCCCAAGACTCTGCTTGTTTGTATTACTATATAGTACGAGTCACCCCCACCTGACAACATATATTTTTCAACCTGTATAATTATCCAGGTTTTAAAATGAGGAAGTTTAGCTGGGCTTTTTAGGTATTTATGGCTCTCCACATTTTAATCCCCGTCCCATTCCTGTAAGGTAGGAAAATACTATCATCTCCATACTGGGAGCTGAGGCACAGATCCTCAAATGTATTTAGGTATTAAATATCTTTTGAAGGTCTTCCACGGCCTTGGGTAAGTGATTTAAGCTCAGAGGCCTTTGGCAGGACAGGTACTTTGACCTAGGTCTCCAAGTGCAAGACTATTAGACTATCAGCCATTAGACTATCTTTTCCATCTATCAGCATGAGTTTAAAACTCAGTTTGTCCTGAACCCAAGTTATCCTGGTCCCACTCCAGCCTTATCTCACTTTTGCCTTCTCTGTACCCTCTCCACTCCCCCTGTCTGGAGGCTCTCTCCCCTATCTTAAGCTACGTCTAGACTACAAGCCTTTTTTTGAAAGATGCTCTTTTTCAAAAGAGGCTTTTTTGAAAGTATCTAGATTGCATTACGCAGATCGAAAACCCAATCCGCTTTTTTGAAAAAGTGCAGGGGGGGGGGGGGGGGGGGGGTGGAGGAGGAAGGCACCTGGAACCGCTTCTTGCAGGGCATGGGAGCAGCATTTACTTCCCGGTGCTGCTCCATGCCCTTTGCAGAGACACGTGCTTAAAGGGAACTCCCTGGACAGCCGTTGCTCCACTCCTGCTTCTGGCTTGCCTACCTCCTAGAGGGAAAGCAAAGCTGTTGCAGTGCTTGCTCTGGTTGCTCTGCTTTCTTGGACACCACAGCAGTTTATTTTCTGGGGGTTTTTTTTCTGCTTTTCACTGTGTTTTTGGCCATGGAGCCTGAGCTGCCCCTGGGCAGGCAATGGCCCCATGCTGCCATACTGCAGCTTCTGCTGCATCTTCATGAGGCTGTCATGAATCTCCTGCCCCAGGAGACCTACTAAAGTGGGACCTAGGAGATCTTTGTCCGGGATGCAGGAGCTCTGTCCTTGCCCCAAACTTTTTTGGGGACAGGCAGATTTGGAGGCATGAGACGAGTTTGGACTGGTGGGACTGGCTCATCATGGAGCTCTGTGACAATGAGCACTGGCTCCACAACTTCTGGATGCAGAAGGCCACATTCCAGGAGCTGTGTGCCTGGCTCGCCCCTGCTCTGCAACACCAGGACACCCATCTGTGGCCTGCCATCCCCCTGTAGAAACGGGTTGCAATCACCCTTTGGAAGCTGGCCACCCCCGACAGCTACTGCTCCGTGGGACACCAGTTTGGTGTGGGGAGGTCTACCATCGGGGCCATTTTGATGGAGGTAAGTCACTTTTGCAAGACAGACCCTGCTGAGCAGGGGGGTTGAGAGAGGGGGACTGCCAGGCAAGGGCAAGAGGGAGTGGGGGATGGAGTGGCACTTGGAAGCGGCTCCTCGGCCAATCCTGCGCTGATGCGGGGGAGGGGGTGTTCTTCTCCCAAGCTTTTAGGTAACCTGTCTAACCTGTCTGTCTGTCTCTTGCTGCAGGTGGTGAGGGCCATCAATGCGGAGCTGCTGAAGAGGCTCATCTGTCTCGGGGACCTGGACAATATCATTGCCGGATTTTCCACCCTTGGCTTCCCGAATGGCGGAGGAGCCCTCGATGGGACACACATCCCAATCCGCACACCGCCCTGTCGAGCAGCTCAATTTATAAACAGGAAGGGCTACTATTCGATGGTGTTGCAGGCCCTGGTCGACTGCTGGGGACACTTTATGGACATCGGTGTCGGGTGGTCGGGGCGGGTACATGATGCCGCATTTTCCGCAACTCCTATCTGTACCGCAGGTTGCAGACAGGAACATTTTTTCCCCCAGCAGGACCTTGCGCTTTGGGACGTGCAGATGACGGTGTGCATCGTGGCCGATGCGGCCTACCCCCTGATGCCGTGGCTCATGAAGCCCTGCACCGGCCACCTGGATGCGAGCAAGGAGCTTTTTAACATTAATCTTAGCCATGCTCGCATCCCGGTGGAATGCTCGTTTGGACGTCTGAAAGGGAGGTTCTTTTGCCTCCTAACATGCCTAGAGATGGGTGAACGATGTTGCGCCCTCCATAACCTGGTGGAGAGGAAAGGGAAGGCCTTCCTGCCAGGGTGGGGGACAGGTGCTGATGGTGAGGGGAGGCAATTTGAGCAGCCATGGATGGCTACCATCCCCCAGGCTCACCAGTCTGGTGTCCGAATTAGAGAGGCCCTGAGGGAGAGATTCTCAGAAGGAGCCCACCTACTCTTCCCAGGGCCTCCCCCCCAGGGGGGTTTGGCCTGGCCAACCCCTACCTGTCCCTCCACTCTCTTCCCATAAAGAATTCATACACACCCAGTTTTCTTTGTAAACAAACATTGTTTTTTTTTAATTAGAAACAATATCAGTAAGGAAAATGTACTAACTGTTTAAAAAAAAGTCTGTTTGCTGTTCAAATGTTTATATACAAGGTAAAACTTTCACTTAAAAAATAAAGATTTTGTTATATAACTGAAATGTCCTTTAACTGGAGTGGTAGGGGACTGAAAACCTGGAAGGGGGCTGAAAATGTGGAGAAGGGAGTGGGCTCAAGTAGGCTGCTGCTTCCCTGATTGCAGGGTCCTGTCACCTTCTTGTGTCTTGGCACTGCCACACCCTTGGGCTCAGGTGGAGCAAGAGCCAGTCCTGGCCTGGGCAGGGGCGGGGGGCAGCTGTTGGGCCTGTGGGGAGCTGGGGAAGAAGGGGGGCTGGGGGGGCAGGGGCCTGGCATGCAGGAGGAGCGGTGCCCGGACTGCCACACCCTTGGGCTCAGGTGGAGCAAGAGCCAGTCCAGCCCTGGGCAGGACGGGGGGGGGAGGGCAGCTGTTGGGCCTGTGAGGGCTCGTGAGAAGGAGGGGCTGTGGGAGCAGAGGGGGCTGGGGGAAAAGGGTCCTGGTGTGCGGGAGGAGCGGTGCCTGTGACAGGGGCAGGCAAGGCTAGGGCCTCCCGTATAGTGTCACAGATGGCAGTGTGCTGCTGGACCAGCTCATCCAGCAACCTGGTGCGCCATTTGGCCTCTGCCTCCATCCTCTGCTGAAGAGTCCTGTTGAGGTCCTGCAGGACCACTAGATGCTCTTTCAGCAGGTCTGTGTAGACACACCAGTGCCTGCAGGTGCTACGTGTCCGGGATGGTGGTGGGGCGGGTGTGGTGCTTCCCTCTTGGGTGGAGGGTCCAGCTGTGGAGGAAAAGAAGAGGAGACAATCAATGTCTGTGTGCATCCCTGCTGTCCCCGAGGGCATGCTGTCTCTGTCAGGGGCACTTCTTTGGACAGGAGACTCAGGGGTGTTACACATGACACTGTGTGTGAGTTGGGCAGCAACGTGAAAGCATCACAGGGGCCCCACAGTGGCAATGGGACTAGATGGCCTCCCACACTGCCAACCTGCCCGTGTGTGGTTACCCCTCAAAACACCTGATGTGCCCTCTCCAATGTCCAGGGACGCCTGGGAGGCCTCTGGGGTCTGGAGGACTGGCTCCTGGGAGAGGGTCCCTGCTGTCTCTTCCTCCTCCTCCAGGTGCAGCTCTCCCATCCGTCCTTCCTGGTCATCATCCCTCGGGGTCGGTCCACAATATGGTGGGCTAACCCGGACTCCATCACACGCAGTGGAGTCTGGGCTTCTCCATTGCCCAGAATTTGCTCCAACTCTGTATAGTAAGGGTAGCTCTGTGGGGCTGCCCCGGAGCGGGAGCTCTGGTCTCGGGCCTTGGCACCCCTTTTGCAGTTCTTTCACGCTGGCCCTCACTTGGTCCATGGTGCGGGGGTGATGCCCTTTCTTGGCCAGTCCCTAGGCCAGGCGCCCATATATGTCCACATTCCTTCAGCGTGACTGCAGGGATTCTTCCTGGGACCAGAGCTCCCGGAGGCTTTTAATTTCTGGCTCTGACCAGGCCTGCCTGCTTTTTAGTGCCCCTGGGTGGGTTCTCCTCACTGTCCCGAGAAGGGCCAGGGGGGCCTTGAGGCTGGGACATGGCTACACAGATGCTCTGGCTGGCTTCCGACAGCAATGCCTGTCTGGGTGCCTGTCCCTTTAAGAGGCTACAGTCAGGAACCATAGACATCTCTGTCGAAAAAGGTGTTCTTCCTCATAAAACGAGGTTTACCACTGTCAACAAAACCGCTGCGTTCTTTCGATTTACTGTCAACAGAATGCGGCGGCAGTCTAGACGCAGGTACAGTTTTTGCGAAAAGAGACTACTTTTTTTCAAAAAAACCCTGTAGTCTAGACACACCCATATTGTGTTACTTTCTTCTGCAGCTTCAGCAAAATTAAGGGTTTAGAGTGGCTTACATTCTTCAAGACTTCAGACCATTGAAAACTGCTTTAAAAATTTAGTTATTTTCCTCTTCCCCAATTTGAGGAGATAACAAGAAGAACAAAAGACTGGCTAGAGCAGGCAGCACTTATGCTGCATTAAATATGTATATAATTTAACATTGCACACAGTTAGGGGTAGATACAGGCACTTATATAGAGAAATACTTCTCTGCAGTACTGCTATGAAATGCTAATCAGCCTTTTAACAACTGCTGCTGTCAAGTCTATGGGTACACAGTTTACTCATCTGTTAATAAGTGCCAGTTGACCTTTGCTGCCTTCACTGATTGGGGGTGATTGGAAAATAGGTTTCTCTTTCTCTGGAGTCAAAAGTCAGGAAATGCAGAAGTTAAGATTGAGCATACAGGTGTAACTCTGCCACCTTTCTGAGACCCATTCAGGGCTCAGGTTGGCTGGTATGCAGCAATTTGGGGGTAATGGTGGTATCTCTCATAAACTACTGTTCCACAGAATCTCAGCTTTTTTTTTTAAACGAAAATCTGTAGTTATTCTGATTAATTCTCACTTTTTTAGGATTTCTTTGTAAAGTGTGACTTGAGTGTAACTAGTGCAAAGATGCATCCACAGAGAGCCTGGAATAATAGCTTAGAGCCGTGAACTACTGGTACCCCATTTGGTTCAGTGAGGCTGGTGTTCACTCAGATAACCAGTGTTGATCATCTAGAATACATCTACGTAGGGATAAAAGACCCTAGGCACAGATGTGATTTCTCCAGGTCGAGCTCGGGCTGGAGCCAGAACTCTGGGACTCCCCACCTCATCAGGGTCCTAGAGGTCTGTCACCAACCCAAGCCCAAACATCAACACAAACAATTTTTCAGTCTCAGAGCACGTGCCAGCCATGGGTGTTTTTTTTTTTGCCTGGTGTGAACATCCCTTTAAAGGTTAGGAATGTTAAGTATTTTGTTCTCCTTTGAGAAAGGAGAGGATTGGTCACACAGCCGCATAATTTACCATGAGTGACATTTTGCTTTGGTGCCATATGTGAGTTTGGAAGAAAGTCCCACTTCATTGATTTCCCTGGCTAAGGAGCCAAGCCCAAGACCTTTAGCAGAGTCTATATACATATTCAAATCTTACAAAGGGGAAGCCAAACTCCAAGGAGCCAAGGGTAGATCGGGCTGCATCTGACAAAGTGGATCTTTGCCCAAGAAGGTTAAGCTTCAATAAATCTGTTAGTCTATAAGGTGCCACAGGACTCCTTGTCCTGGTGCTTTTGCGGGGTAGGTCAGTGAGCACATACCATGCCGTTTTCAATATCTGCACCCTCTGTAAGTAACGTCTCATTTTGGTGACTTGAATGAGTGGAGTTTATTTTGTGGGCATAGCTTGGAAGACTACCACTACACCCTGCATAATTTGCCACTGTATGGGTATAATCGCTAGTGGCCTCAACCATTAGGAAATGGTCAGATTCAGAACCAAACTTTACAGTTGAGACTTTCATTATAATGACCCTGAATCCAAACCTCCAAGACTTCAGGAAAGTATAGCTGAAACTCTTTTTTGATTAGTCTCATGGCTAAATATTGTTCAACCTTTAAGTAGCTTGATCTTAGATATGTAAGATAAACATATTATATTTAAATGTGTTGAAACATGGTAGCATATTGTTTTGTTGGAGAACTAATAATTTAAGACACAGCTAAGTGATCTGAAATAAAGTATTATAGTAATTATTTGTTAGAGATTCTAATTAAGTTTGAGAAGGATCCCTGTATGTTAATAATATGTGACTCCTTTTAATGAAGTGAAAGTTCAAGTTTCATAAAAGTGGTAGGCTGATGTATAGACATGCAAAGCTTTCTTGAGTCATGGGCCTCAGAAAACCTATATTTTATGTTAATTGCTAATGTAACCATTTAAATAAGAGTATTTATGAATAGACTATCTAATTGTTGGGTACAAGTTGACTGGCGCTGGAGGGCCTGTAATCCTGCAAATACTTACACAGGCACATAGCTTTATGCACAAGTAAACCCACTGAATTCAATAGACTCAGATGGGTAGCCATGTTAGTTTGTAATTTTAAAAATAACAAGTTGTCCTGTGGCAGCTTAGACACTAACAAAAATATATGTAATATAGTTTCATGAGCTTTCATGGGCAAACCCACTTCCTCAGTGAGCTAGAGTGGAGAAAAAAAGGGAAAGGGTGCCTTGCAAAGTATAACAGGGAGAGAGAGGAGAAAATGACCTGTCAATTGTAGTACCAGTGCTAATGAGGCTAATTGAGTGGGCTCAAAGTGTCCTATCTTTAGCTTTTGATGCCAATTGGGTGTTGAATGTATGGATAGCAGGTTTTCTATGGAAAAAGGTTTTCTATGATACTTATTTGTTAGTCTCTGGTCCCTAGTACACACTGAGCACTAGGGGTACATCTATTCTTACCAACCACCACAGGACATACCACACTAATACCAACCCTGGTACCTTCCCTTGCAACAAACCCCGTTGCCAGCTTTGTCCACATATTCATTCTGCTGATACCATTATTGGACCTAACCAAGTGAGTTATAAGATCAAGAACACATATTCCTGCGCATCCAGAAATATAATCTACGCTATCATGTGCCGAAAGTGTCCGTCTGCTATGTACATTGGACAAACATCTCAGACACTTCGCCAAAGGATTAATGCCCACAAAACAGATATCAGACAAGATCACAAAGAGAAAACAGTTTCTTGCCACTTTAACCAGAAAGGACACTCTCTAAATGACTTAGCCACCTGCATTCTGCTACAAAGACCTTTTACATCTGCACTTGAAAGGGAATCCTCTGAACTGTCATTCATGTTAAAATTCGACACTTACCACCAGGGACTTAACAAGTCTTTGAACTTTCTCACCCATTATCAAGACAGTTTCCCCAATTATCACCTGTAATACCATTAACTCACAAACATCCCACTCTCCCTACCTCTAATATCATCAATTCACAGACACTTACCTTCCTTCCTCCCCCTTCCCACCCCCCCGCCTCCTCCTTCTGTTCTGCAATGTGATTTGTCCTTTTCATATTTGTTCTTTTTTTTAATTGTATCCTTTGGTATATATGGTTGTGACTACTTTCTTCCACTATTTGATCTGAGGAAGTGGGTCTGGCCCACGAAAGCTCATCATCTAATAAACCATCTTGTTAGTCTTTAAAGTGCTACATTGTCCTGCATTTTGCTTCAACTACCCCAGACTAACACGGCTACATTTCTATCACTCTCTCTTCAGCTTTCCTTACTCTTCATGGAAGCAGGACTACCGGCATTGACTGGAGTGCCCCGCCACTTCAAATTAGCTGTCTTAACTAGACCTGCTGATTTGAACCCTGGAAGATCAACAGCGGCAGCTTCAATCTTCCTCTGTAGTGTAGACGTACTCTAAGGTGCCACAGAACTACTTGTTTCTGAATTCCAATAGAATTACCCTTGCACAAGTATTTGACAGCTCAGAATCAAAGTACTATGCAGGGATAATCTTGATTTATTTATAGATAGCTGTATAAATAACATAGGCTTTATTCAAATGTTCATGCTCAGGTTACAGCTTGACTAACTTGTTATAACCATGTTCTCCTTATGCAGTCCTTACTTTGCAAACAGTTGTAATGCAATTGTTTGTACTGAGCAAATGTGAAGAAATTCTTTGGGATGTGCTTGTCAGCTTTTTGTTGGAGTCAGGAGATCTAATGGAGCTAGAGTAATTTTGCCTAAAAGCAATTGCAGGAAACTTCTTCCTCCATGCATTGTGTATCTTCACAAATAGAAAATAGCATCAGGCATCAACCTTAAGGGTCTCTTCAAAAATGCCATTTCATGATGTGAGGAGGGGACTGCAGAAATAG